AGAGAGGTATTTCAGAAGTTGATCTAATTTACTACTTATTTGGAAGTTTGAGCTCACCCAATGTAAACACCCTGTATGTGTCCTTTTCTTATCTTAAAATTGATGTTTCTTCTATGGATGCTGATTGGAAAGGTTATGTCCCTCAAGGTTATACCTGCATTCTTTATCTCATGCTCCATTCTCCCCTCCTGCCTCATGCTATCACTTGCTTTTAAAATCTCTCCTTTTCTATAGCTCCTTTCATAATTCCATCATTCCTCTGTGGCATTTGATGAACTCTCTCTCATCTCGTGCTTCCAAGACCAGAGTTGTTAATGACCTTGCTATTTTCATTTCTTTTCTGTGTGCCGTCAAGGGTTCTATATCTAAACTCCTCTAAATATAAAGCTCCTCCAATTTTCCAAGTTTCTATATTTGATTCCCTCTCCTGTCTTTCTTTCTTTTCTCTCCTCTTTGTGATTTAAGTCTTTCCCCAGGCTTACTTATCATTTCTGCACAGGCAACTTCCAGATTCACTTCTCTGAATCTAACTTTTTGAAAGATTCTGACCAATCAGCTCTTTCAGCTTGCTTCTGGATATCACTCACTCACTCACTCACTCACTCTCATACATTACTTTCATTGAGAATGCACTGAAAAAATAAATACTTCTTTGGAACTGTGGAGATAGTTGTGGAAAAAACACAGATCCTCACAGAAATTTCATGCTAGTGAGAGAGAGCATAAGCAAATAAAAATTGTGTCAGGATGTGTCAAATTCTGTGGAGCTAAACAAATCCTGTAAGAGGATAGAGATGGGAATCATGGAGACTAATTTAGTTTGGATCATCAGTAAAGTCTATAAGATGCCACTTGACAGAAATCTGAAGGAAGTGAGACACTGAAGAAAGTGAGAATGTAAACCATATTCATGCTGGGGGGAAAGTTTCCTAACAGAGTAAACAGGTACAAGGAAGCAAATGCAACTGGAGTAGTCAACAAAACAGATGTTCCATCTTTCACTATGTAATATGGAGGTAGATATATCTGATGTGGGGGATGGTGGTGAAATACCTCTTTGTCCTAATTTTATATGCACTGTCACACACAGATAATAGGCACAGAGTTACCGGGTGCTTACGTCACATAGGACTTCAGAGGATATGATAAGTACTTTGACTTTTATTCCAAGTGAGAGAAGCCATTGAAGGGTTTTGAACAAAGAAGAAAGTTCCACTTAAAATGAAACACTTTGGCCACTTTGTGGAAATGTGACCCAGTGCAAGCTGTTAGTCCCGTCAAGAGTGTCATATAAAATGTACTTATGAAGGTGAAGACGATACCTGTACAAAGTGGCAATCATGAATGTTGTAAGAAGAGGTAAATTTCAGCATTTATTTTGAAGGAACAACTGAAAGGATTTTCTGAAGAACTGGCATAAAGTATGAAAGAGTAGTCAAGAATGAGTGAACCTCAGAAAATAGTAGAATAGAGCTTCCATTTATTACACAGTCAAAGATTTTGGGTGAAACAGCTTGTGGGGGTTATTGAAGTCATCAAGAGTGTGGTTTTGAACATGTTAAATATGAAATGTCTATTAGACATCCGAGGATAAACATTAAATATTTAGATGTGCAAGTCTGGAGTTGAGAAATGAGGTCAAGTAAACTATATCAACACATTCTCAATGCATATTTAAATAAAAGTCATACAGCTAGATAACTAGGTAATAAATACAGATAAAGAAGGGAAGAGCTTCAGAAGTGAAGACCAAATTCGAAAACATGCTTATGCTTAAAGTTCAGATAATTGGGGGAGGGATGAGACAGAGATATAAAACTTTAACAAGTGCTTCAAGAGAGACATAGGAAGTCTTGCTCACTGGTTGAGTAAGAAGACTGAGAAATGCCTGTTGGATTTACCAACATGGACATTTCTAATGACCTTGACATAAAACAAAATGAACTGGGGCTAGGGAGTAGAACTCTTAAGAAATTTTGCTGTAAAAGAAAACAGTACAAAGTGGTAGCTTTGTATTTGCTGGAGGGGATAAAAGTCCAAATGTGACTTTTTTTAGTGTGAAAAAATAACACCATTTATTGCTTCTCATGGGAACCAACAAATAAAAAAGGCAAACTTGATGATGTGAGTGAGGATAGTTATAAGTGTGATGTCCTTGTGTCCTTGGGTGGATAGAGGGTTGGGCTTCAGGCCACTGTGGGAAGGTGGTTTTGGGAAACAACATAAAAATACTTCAACCATGTACCAAAGCAAAACCACACTCTTGATGACTTCAATAACCTCCACAAGCTGTCTCACCCAAAATCTTTTGCTTCATTTGTGAATACAGATTATGTGATTGATGCAATGATAAGAGCGTGTAATTTTTTTCCTATGATTACTTCTAAATTCCCAGTGAAATAAGAGGATTATCAACTAACAGTAAGAAGGAGGAGGAGGATTGGGAGATTTAAGGAATACTAAGTATGTGTGAAATTATCATCTGTGGTGAAGGCTATTACATGTTTTTTTTTTTTTTTTAAACAGTAACATAGAATTAAAAAAAAAAAAAGACTATCCAGCATGCAAAGGCATGAACACACACACACATATACACATACCAAGAATTTCAAGAGACTTATTTCACTTTCATTTTAATACTATTTAATTAAGGGAAGGTGGATAGTGACTTACTAATTTCATGACATAGTAATGGTTTGAAAACACTCATGTAGAAGAACTGGGACAATGATCTGAAGAAATCTGAGTCTTTTGTCACACAATAAAACAGTAAGGATGGAATGTAAAGTGATATTGTTCAGCATAATCAAATGTGAAATCTTATGCATTCTCTTATCCCCAATACCTCCTCCTGTAGAGACCCCTCTTACTCTCAACTCCCGTATTTTACAGTAACTCAGGCTTGAGACCTATCAGTTTTCTTCCTCTGCCCATTTTCTGTAACTCTCTCCTTAAATTTGCCATTGAAAAGTTTCTGCCTCTAAACTCTCACGAGCTTCTTTTTCTGTTTTCATTGATTTCACCCTAATCAGACTCTTATTACTTTCTCTTCATCTATTATTTGTACTTTTATTATGATAATAATGGGTGTCCAGGATGAGATATTTATTTTTAAAAGACAAATTACCAAAGAAAATAAAAGTCATGCTTTCATTGTTAAGAGATTGTCCAGTTTCACATGTTGGAATATACAATTCCATATATCTTATGTGTTTATGTGTTATGTAATTTCCTTATAATTGTTTATATAATTATACAGTGTGACCCTGACTTGTAATATGCTTGATTTTAGGAGAAAACATTGTGAATCTCTGCCGATATCATTACATGTTTGACGAAAAACATATTGAATAGTTGTAGAACATTTCATGCATGGCATTTTAATTTAAACCATTTTGCTGAATTTATAGTTCTTTGCATGTTCTTCTCAGACCTGGGGCTGCAGGGAGCTCAATTTGCCATGGGCTTCCAGGCATTATGCTCTAAAATTAGTCAACTCTTAGTCTGTTGCAAGGTACAACTTCCTATGGGTCACTCTTAGTCAATAACAGAGTGCTGGAAATGTAAGTAGACAGACCCACTTCTTGGAGACTTGGGGCTCCTCTGATGTGTCATGTTAACTGGAGGTCTTCCTGATAGCCTAGAAAAACTCTCCTGAGATCTATTCCCAACTTTCCCTTCTTCCTTCCCTCCTGAGACTTGCAAGAAATCTGAAGGTTTTCCCCACTCCTTTCCCATTATCTCTTAAAGCCCTGTCTTTTTCCCTCTAGTGATTTTTGTGCACTTAATTCCTTGGAGCATCTATTTCTCAAAGGACCCAAACCAACACAGACATTAAAGTTGTTTTCAGATTTTTATTCTGTACAACTCAACATATGATTACTCTACTCTTAGCATCTTAGCGTTTTCCTGTTCGGAGTCCTTCAAAGCACCACCCTTGTCCACTAAATTAAGACCAAAGTCTTCCTCCTCACCTCCACAGTATGGTCCTAGCCCATCTTCCCAAACACCACCAATATTTTGTCGAGCCCAAGACCTGCCCACTAAATATTCTCCCTCTTATTTCATTCCCGCACCCCCAAGCCCCAAAATACATCTGTCCAGGGGAAACCTACCTCAGTTTAAATCCCTTCTTGATTTTTTTCACCCTAATGTTTGTTCTCCTCAATTTCTGCAAAGTATTCACTTTTTGATATGTTAAAAGGGAGGTAATGTAGGTCAGTGTTGAAGTGTATATAGTCTGTTTTGTAATCAGACAGACCTGGCTAGTTATGTCATCATGAAACACATAAAAAACCCAGACAACTAGTTGAAATTGAATGGGTGATTGGAAACACTAAGTAAAATACCTAAATTTAAAAATTTCACATTTTTTAGTTTTCTCTTTGTTTTTAATTGCAGGAATTCCCAGAGCCCTTAAAAGGCAAATATAACTTGTGACTCACATCATTTATCTCAAACTTACTTGACATAAAATTCCTCTTAAAAAAAAAATATATATATATATATATATATCTCCAGGGCCTCCCCTGGTGGTGGCACAGCGGTTGAGCGCTGGTCTGCAAAGTTGCCCACAGCCTCTGCAGTGCCAGTTCGATCCCAGGCTGCTGGCGAGGGTCCCACATGGTGCGACAGACCTCTCCTGCTGTGCTCGCTGCTCCCCTCAGCAGTGTGTTTCGTCAGTCTGTCTGTTCTGTTACCCTCTCTGGCTCTGGTGAATTCTCTCACCCTCCGGTGCTTCTGACTGTACCCAGTGCTTGTATAAATAAATAAATCAATAAATCTTTAAAAAAAAATCTCCAAACCCTTTTTTTTTTGGAACACACTTTGGGAAAGGGTAAAGGTGGTCATAACACTTTGAATGTATGGTTTTTACAGTAATATATATATTTTTTATCTTGTTGTAGTTATTTACTTTACACATTTTTTCTACTTTAGCCTTTAGCTTAAGAGCTTGAAAGTAACTGGCACTTATTAAGTTGAAAATCAAGGACTTTTAGTGAAGATTCATGGTCTGGAATAATATTTATTAACAGGAGAAAGTTTGCATTTATTTTCAGTAGCCTTTTTTGCAACCTTTTTTTTTTTTTTTCCTTTAGTACCACAGTATCCTGGGTAACCTTGCAGACTAGGGGAATTATTTTGATACTGGACAGAAAGTCCTTGTTAGCATGAGGCTAAATACATTTTCTCTACATGTCTTTTTATTGGAGGAACAGTGTAACCAAAGAACATGAAAGTGGAAGAACATTTTAAAATCAAGGAAGCAGGAGGGCTGAATCTGGGTTCTGGCACCCCTAGGTGGTAGGGAGGCTGCCTGTGGCTTACTTCTGATTGTTTTCATTTCCAAGGGTATGTTTGTCAAAAAGGTACTCCGCCAGACTAGATTTGGGGGCCCCCATCTTAACCAAGTTTTGCACGTGGTCACCTAATTCTTTGATAGACTTCACCTGCTCATTCAGATAGTGGGTTTCCAGGAAGTCACACAAATGGGGGTCACCTTTGTCTGAAGCCAGAGTGTGCAATTCCAGCAAGGACTGGTTCACATTCTTTTCCAACAGCAGCGCACACTGCATGGCGTTCAGTCCGCTTTCCCAGTTGTCCTGGGCTGGTTTCTTGATGTCCTGCAGGCATATCTGCCCTCCCCGCTGGTTTTGCAGCCTCATCAGTTTTTCTGCGTGCTGGGTCTCCTCTCGCGACTGGCGAAGGAAATAGTTGGCGAAGTTGTGCATGGCCACGTCATCTCGGGAGAAATAATAAGCCATGGACAAATACACATAGGATGCGTAGAGCTCGAGGTTGATCTGGCGGTTGATGGCAGCCTCGGAGTCTGGATGGAAGTTCTGGCGCACGCGGGAGGAGGCCAAATTCGGTTGGATTGGGTCCCCAGAGGAAGTGGCAGCGCTCAGCAGTCGACGAGGGGCAGTGGGCCGGGGTTCCAAGGGTCGCCCTGCGGCGCAGCGCAGCGGGAGCGCAAAGCCTGGGCACCATCTGCGCAGGGACACCAACGAAGTGCTGATGTGCTTGGAGAGGCACAGGAAGCAGGACAACATGCCTTCTCCTCTTTACAAGCGTGGAAACTGACGCCAGGCCTGCTCTTCTAGCGCGCAGTGGGGCGCTGGGGAGATCAGGTCTGAATCAGAACATGGCCTTAGGCCACCTGCGATGCGTCATAAACCTTTTCACATCACCAAGTTCCATGCTCGGGGAGGCCCAGGGCATGTGCACCTTGTGCTGCGGGCTAAACTTGACAGTCGAACAGCTCCATTTATCTCGGTAGTGCCCCCACTGTCAACGCCAGATTTCCCCTCTGGGGCATTCCTAATTTACTATTTCACCTTAATGGAAAAAGCTGTCAGGGAATTAGTGTCACTTGCCAAAAGAGGACTGAGCCAGCCTTGCTTGGCCTCTCTCTCGGCCTCTTTCTGTCCAAAGGCCAAGGGAAAAGGCGGAGGCTAGGGAGCAACCTGAGGAAAAGTAAAAGTCACCACCAATGCATTTGATGGAGTGAAGGTCCACAATCAACGAGTGTTTTTATAAATTGACTTTCTGGCTATTATAACAAATTTAGGTAAAGAATTGCCAGTTTAGTTACATTTTCAAGAGACTATGATAAAACCGTGTTTTCTTTTAAGAGACATTTTATTTTTAGGGCCTCCCCTGGTGGCGCAGCGGTTGAGCGCTGGGCTGCGACTCTGCCCGCAGCCTCTGCAGCGCTGGTTCGTTCCCCGGCCGCCGGCGAGGGTCCCACAAAAAACAACATAAAAAAAGAGCCATTTTATTTTTAATTATAATACTTAACACACATTATAAAGAAGATGCTGTAAAAATAGGAAGAATATATAAACTAGCTCTACACTTGATGTTACCTTCCTGCCTTTTGTTAATGCAGATGCATATTTTTAATTTTTAACAATATTTTGTTAACATTACTTTGCATGGTGTTTCACACAATGCATCATTATAACATTCCACATCTATATATGCTGCATGAAGTATCATTCACCATACAATGGACCCCTTTTACCCACCTCCTTCCCCCTTCCTTCCTGGTATTGTAGTATTATGTAGTGTATATGCACCACATCTTCTTAATCCATTCCTCTGTCCTTGGGCACTTAGGTTGCTTCTATAACTTGGCTATTATAAATAGTGCTGCAGGGCCTCCCTGGTGGTGCAAGGGCTTAAGACACAATCTGTGAAGCTATCCACAGCCACTGCAGCACGAGTTCGAGCCCCGGTCTGCCAGAGAGCTACCCTCATGGTGCAGCAGACCTCTCTTGACTCACCTGCTGCTCCCCTCAGCAGTGTATTTCAGTCAATCTGCCTGTTCTATTCCCCACTCTGTCTCTGGTGAATCCTCTCACACCCCCACACCTCTGGCCTGTACCCCAGTTCTTGTATTCATAAATGAATAATCTTAAAAAAAAATAGTGCCGCAGTTAGTGTTGGAGTGCATTTATATCTTTAAGTTAGTGTTGTTGTATTGTTGAGTAGCTACCTGGGGGTGGAATTGCTACATGATATGGTAGATACATTTTTAATATTTCGACAAATCTCCATGGTGTCTTTCTGAAGAACTGGACCAATCTATGTTCCCATCAGTCATGTACATGGTTCCCTTTGCTCCAAAGCCTCACCAACAACTATTGTTTCTGGTGATTTTGATATGAGCCATTCTTATTGGTGTGAGGTGGTTGCTCATTGTGCTTTTGCTTCCCTTTTCCTGATTGTTAAGTGATGATGAACATTTTTTTCATATGCCTGTTGGCCATATTTTCTTTGGAGTTTTATGAAATTGATGTAATTTGGATTTTACTGCTAAAAAGGACACCTTTTTTAAAAATCCAAAAGGACACCTTTAAAAATATTAAATTTAGTTTGTGTTGTAGGGTATTGAGAAAAGGAGGACAAATAAACAGAAGAAATTTTCTTTAAATTCTTAATTCTTTCTCTATTCATTGTTAGATGTTGATGCTACTTCTTCAAGATTTAAAAAAACAGTAATAAAAATGTATTGCAGAAAAACAAAAGCAAATACAAACATTTTAACAGCTTTATACAAGTATAACTGACACACAATAAACTTAAGTTGCCTTAAATGTACAACTTGATAGGATTTGACATATGTACGCATCTGTAAAACCCTCACCAGAATCAAGATAATCAGAATCAACATTTCCATCAACCCAGTATTGTACAATATATATGTTTCATCAATTAGAAATAGAAAACTACGTGACGGTGGGTTGCTATTCACAAAGTCATGTTTTAATGCAATATACAGATAGCATCTTATATTATTTTCTTTGAGACATTTTATATTAAATACTAAATTACTAAGAATTTAACTACCTTGGAAAATATTTAAAAACACTCTCTACCTTTACATTAATAGGTGGAAGTTGAGCATAAATAAATATGGATGCCCAAGCTATAATTGTACTTAAATTTTGCTAATAGAATGTGCTTGATATTCATCAATTTCTCACTAATATTTGCTTTTCTACACCCATTTTTGCTTCTATTTCCCCCAAACTTTTGCTACTTCTAAAATGTACTTCCCAAAAGAGAGGTTATGAAAATGATTCTTTAGAGTGGTATTAAAAGCCGACTGCTTCTACTAGCGTGTTAAGAGAAATAATGCTTTTCATATAAATGTTTATCCCTAAGGTAATAAAAAGCATAGATATAAAACAAATGCAATACATGAAATGTAATGCAAAACAATGCCATAAAACAAAATACACATTTAAATATCCCATGTTAATTTGTCAAAAATGGTTCTTCTTCCCATTACAAAGTTTGTCATATATTTTGCTAGCCTTTGAAAATGGAAGGACCTGGAAGATTTTTTTTTTTTATCCTTTGGGCATTTCAATTTCTATATTCATAGCAAAATTAATGTCCTATCAAAAATATAAACCTGGACCCCTCTTCACGACTCATTTCTTTCTCACTTTTAGTGGCTTCTTCTGTTTCTTGATTCACCCCCACACTCCAAGCTTTTATGATTCTCTGGGGTTCGCTTCCATTCTCACATTCCTCTCCTTCCTGACTAGCCATCTTTCTTTCTCATCTTTTTTCACTCCCTCATGAAATCCATCTCATCTTTTAAGTTCTGTATAATATGTTATCTTTTCTATAACTTCTTACAAAAACTCATTTGAAATTAATCACTGCTTTTTTGTTGTTGTTGTCAAAGTATTTTGTTTATATTGAGTTGTATCATATTATAGTTACTTATATATGCATTTGTAAGTGTGTGAAGTGGGTGTGTGTATGTATCCTTAAGGGTAAAGCCTACTATTTTATTTATTTTAAAATCCACAAGCCTAGCATAGTGCTTGAAACTTAAAACACATACACATAAAAATAGACTTTTTAAAAACTGAAATGAATAGGGATAACATTCTTATTTTATATAGCACATCAGATTAGCCTAGTAAACTTTGATAAAATATATTAGGAGATATCTTTGCTTTAATTTAAAGTACTTGAAGCTAGCCAGGAAATTTCTGTGTTTTGATGATATCAGTCACCAAAGGAATAAAATATCCACTGTTTGCCTTTCTAGCTATTTTAGCAGAAGTGTTTATTTTATATATAAAATGGTTTGCAAATTGGAAATTAAAGAAGTACATAAATGTGAATGTCTTTTTTTTTTTGGCTTTTTTGTAGTGCTTTATTATTTCATATTATGAGAAGAATATTTTTCCTGAAACTCCTGGAAATTGCCCTGCTGCCAGAAAGACAAAGCAATAATCAAATAATACCTGGTAAGTGGAAGCACCAAAAGTCTTACAGAATAGGTAGACAATACACCTACAAGATTGTAGCGCAGAAGCCACACAACTAACCTCATGGAAAACCTTATTTGTTGCTCCTTAGCCTTTCTTCCTTTCTTTCTTTCTTTTTTTTTGGCAGTCTATATTATTATTCTTTTTTATAAGTTTATTATTCTTTTTTAATAATTTATTTTTAAAACATTTTACATCATTGTTCATTTTTAAACAATATTTGTTTCCCCCACCCCCTCAGGTGTAGTCCCCATAGTTTCCTTCCCCAAGGCACCCGTGCACCATCACCTCAGTCCCCTGTGCTCCTCCCTCCCTCCCTCTGATCCTTCTCTGGTTTGTCTCTGGTTTATAATTGTCTGTTTTTGCTTCGTTGTGCTTTGTACGGTTATTATTTTTTTGCACTAATATCTTATTGGGTTCCCCTATAGTCCTGCTATAAATGAAACCATCCAATATTTTTCTTTTTTCTTCTGGCTTATTTCACTGACCATTAATTCCTTCTAGCTCCATCCACGTTGCTGCAAATGGCATGAGTCTGCCTTTTTGATCGCTGAGTAATATTCCATCATGTATATATGCCACATCTTCCTGATCCAGTCATCTATTTTTGGGCATTTGGGTTGTTTCCAGGTTTTGCCTATTGTAAATAGGGAGTGCAAGCTGGTCCAACCACTATGGAAAGCTGTTTGGAGGTTCCTCAATCTACTAAAAATGGAGCTACCATATGACCCGGCAATTTCACTCCTAGGGATCTACCCAAAAGACACAAAAATATTGATCCAAAAGAACATGCTCCTTTGTCTTTTTACTGACTTCCACCATCTGTCCTATGAATGTTTTTTGCCAAAACCTGTGATTTCATTGTGATATATGCCTATTAGATATGGCTCATAAAAAATTAGGGACAAGTAACTTAATGGACCCACCATCCTCCAGGCTATGGTCTTCACCCCCTCCCAAGTTCTGTACTCAGAACCTGCTGCTCTTCTTCTTTTTCTTGTCAGGAGTTTTCCATGTTGAGATTAATTCCTGTTTACTCCTCCTGGTCTATCCCAGCTGTGGCCTCCTACCCATCCTCTCCACCACTCACCTCCAGGACTGCTTGCAGCTGCAGACCTGCTTCCCTTCTTCTTTTGTTTTTTCAGGGCTGCCCCAGTCCCCGCGATTGTCCGCAGGGCCTCTGAGAGCAGGTTCTGGGAAGAGAAGGAGCAGTGGCGGATGGGAGGGTCTGATCATAGAAAAAGGCAGGCGTGGGTAGTATAAAGTGGGTCATTATTTGTGAAATCATGTTCTGATTTTTTCAATCTATTGATTACATTTTATGATATGTTTTGTAGAAACCATTTTATT